TTAAATTCTCCCAGTTTTTAATTTATCTGGAAATGTCTTAATTTTTCCTTTAGTTTTGAAAAAGAGTTTTGCTAGATATAGAATTCTTAGTTAACAGTCTTTTTCTTTCTATATTTGAATGTTATGCCAATGCCTTCTGGCCTCCATGATTTCTGAAGAGAAGTCAACTCTTAATCTTAAAGAAAGTTTTTAAAAATTTGTTATGCGGTAAGTTTTTCTCTTCGTGTTTTTAAAAGTATCATTTTGTTTTCGGCTTTTGACAGTTTGACTATAATGTGTCTATGTTTCTGGAATTTATCCTCCTTGGAATTAATTGAGCTTCTTGAATGTGTAATGTTTTCATCCAATTTGGCAAATTTGGAGCCATTATTTCTTCAAGTAATTTTTCTACTACCTCTCTCTCTCCTCTCTCCTTCCAAGGATCCATTAGGCATATGTTGATACACTTGATGGTGCCCACAGGTTGTTTTCTTCAGTCTCTTTTCCTTCTTGTCCTTAGCTAGATACTCTCAAATGATCTACCTTCAAGTTTGCTGACTATTTCTTTTCTCAGTTCAAATCTGATGTTGACCCCTCCTAGTGAGTTTTTACTTAAGATATTGCACTTTATAACTCTGGGTTTTCCATATGGGTTCTTATTTGCTCCAGTTGATACTGTTGACCTGGGCATCTGTGATGTTAAAAAAAAATACTCTGCCAATGATTGTTCCAACTAACAGCCTGGGGATAGAGCTTTTCTTATAAGGAAGGACAAATATTAAGAACAACTATGTCCTAAGAATGGAACTTTGCAGGTCGAGATAGGTTGAAATAGTGACAATGCTCCGTGCATGGGACTTTGTGAGGCACTGCAAACCTGATCTGCACCTGCCGGCCCTGGCCCCACCGAGTGCCTGCAAATCTGTGGTTTTCACTGCTACAGTTTGGTGAGGTTGCCCTGAAGCTGGGAGCGTGGCTGGTGGTAAAGTTACCTTTTGCATTTTTTCTGTAATAAACACTCCTCAGATTGTTGTGAGCCTCTGACTAATGTATGAGTTCTAAAAAAGTTGCTTTTAATAATTTTTCTCAGTGTTTTTATGAAGGAGTAGATTTACAAAGATGTTCCCTCTACCATTCTGATGTCTGCCCCATTGCCAAACGTTTTATAAGAAATTAAATGATTGAGGTTTTGATAGGAACTCTGGACATACTAAATATCCTTCCCTATTAAGCAGTGACAATTTCAAGAAAAAGAATGTCTTTATCCCTTGCTCCTGAAATGGCAGGTAGAGAGAATTTTTTTTCTTTTCCTCTCTAGGCCTCCCCCTCTCAGTGTAGCAGCAGCAAGACAGAACCTTCCCCACCCTCAAGGAAGACCAAGAAGCGTGCCAAATGTGGCAACTGCTTACATGTAAAGAAATGCTTAGTAGTACTGTTTTTATATTCCTGAGACTTCTGACATACCTATGAAGCAGCTATATAAAATAAAGTTTACAGAAACTCATAAAATGAATCTAATTTCTGAGAACCTATCATGTGTTAGATACTGTGCTAGTCCTGAATAAGATAGACATCGTCTCTGCCATCTTAAGAGTACATAATTTCAGAGAACCAAGGGGCTATTAGAATGCAGTGTGTCAACTTCTTAAAAAGGATATGTAAGGTACTTCTGGGTACATGCTAGGAGGGATATCTAATTTATATTCCTAGAAGTAGTGACACCTTGGCTAAAGTCTCAAAGGATAATTAGGAATTGGCTGTGAAGGGTATAGAAGGGAAGGAAAAGGGGAAGGAGTAAAGAAAGAGTCCCTCACAAAAAAGGACTACCATATGGAAAGGTCTGGTGGCCGGAGGAATTCTGGCTGGATGAAAATAGAAAAGGGCAGTGGTGAGAGCAGACAGACTAGTTAAGCCAGGTATTTTGGGTAAAGCTGAATCACTGACTGCTACGGTCTAAATGTGTGTGTCCCCCAAAATTCATATGTTGAAATCTTATCACTCATGTGATGATATTAGGAAGTGAGGCCTTCAGGAGGTGATTTAGATAATTCATGTTAAATAGGCCCTTATAGAAGAGTCTCCAGAGAGCTGCCTTCCCTATTCTAGCATGTGAGGACACTATCTGTGAATCATCTTTGAACCAAAAGCAGCCCTCACCAGATCCTCACAGTAAAAAAAACACCATCTATGAACCAGGAAACAGCCTTCACCAGACACTACATCTGCTGGCACCTTGGTCTTGGACTTCACAGCTTCCAGAACTCTGAGGAATAAATTTCTCCTGTTTATAAGCCACCGAGTGTGTGGCATTTTGTTACAGCAGTCCAAAATGACTAACACACTGACCAAAATTGTAAAGTTGTAAAGGCATATTAACTAAGAGATTATATAGTGAATTAATTTTCACATTGAACGTTAATGTTTCTGTTTAGCTGAAGATAGACTAGAGAGAGTGAGAAGTCTATTTGGGGAGCACAGTTTTGGTAGAAGTTTTCACAGCAGCTGAAATGCAGTGGAAAAGGTCTCTTAGCAAAGGAATGACAAGAAAAAGAGAACAGAGATTTGGAGACAAGCCAGGTCCACAGTCAGCAAATATCTCAAATACTGCACGCTGCCTTCTAACCTTCTCATCATGTCTCTGCCTTCCTAACAGAGCTCTGACTCAGTTTGGGCATCCATCTTCCCCCAGATAAGCCATTTGATTTGGAGAAACTGACCCTTTCCTAGCTTCAGGGGTTGATCTGTTTTGAGGATAATCTCATAGCCCCTCACCAGTGTTCACCCAGAGTGGAAATGTGACTTAACTTGGCCCAGAAAGACTGAAGGGAAAGATTATGTTCCCTCGTTGATATAGAGGTGCCCTCCCTTTCTCCTCCTGGACGTCTGCTGCCCCAGCCTCGTGCCAGCTGCTTGGTATCTCAGACTCCCTTGTGACTGTGAATGCCCATGAGACCTGGCTCTCACCAACAGAAGAAGGTTTACCAGGAGGTTTCCATAAGGCCACATAGGGCTGGTGGGTGGCTCAACAATGTTACGGAGCTCCAAACTCTTTCCATCTGCATATCAGCTGCTGCTGGCCATCATCTTGCAGTAGCCCGCACAGGGGCAAGGCTGACCAGAAACAGAGTGCACGGACAAGAAAATCTTCCCCTGATTATACTACCCTTGAGGTCAGCCCCACTGCTAGGACTCTAGTTATTTGAGTTAATACAATTCCTTATTGTTTAAGCTGAGTTTGAATTACATTTCTGTTACTTGAAACCATACTAAAAGCTACGGTAGGGAAACGAACTCACAAAGAGACCAAGAATAAAATATCGATAGAGGTGAATTAGAAGAGATCAGTATGATCCAATCTGAGGGAAGATGAAATTCTACCAAAAAAAAAAAAAATCACTGATAGTGCTAAATGTAGTAACTTATCAAGGGAGACGTTGTTCCTATACTAGTTCTATTTAGGCTAAGGAATGCCTTTAAGTCAATCTGCATTCACTGTTACCATGCTATGGTTTTCTGATTTATAAAATATTCAAAGTCTAATTGATGGAAGCCTACTTTACGAATGGACCATGATGATTATTAAGTGTGCTTTCATAATGAAATACAGAGTAAACACGGTCAAGTCAGACCTATTTGATCTAAATACATTAAACCACATTGGAACCTCTCTTTCCCCCAAGTAGATCAAATCAATCAGTGAAATCTTGTATGTCTTACGGATACATTTTGTTCTAGATGTTCTATAAGAGAGAAGTTATGAAAAATTTTAGACATATACCTAAAGGTAGAAAGAAAAGTATAACAAATCTCCATATATCCATCACTCAGATTCTAGAATTACCAATATTTTGTCATTCTTTCTCTTCCCTCTCCGCCTCCTGAACATATAAAACCAATTGTTTGAAAATCAGAATATATTTTCTTATTATTAACCATGTGTAAATGACAGATTCTGAGGCCAAAACATTAAAGCTCATCTAACCCATACAATAACATGCAATTTTTACATGTTGGGAAGAAAACAATATTATTAAAACTATGAGTTAATTAACTGAGTCCCATTTTATTAATATGTCTAAGAAGAAGGGGCTTTACCTGAGCAAAAGTAAACTTCTAACCAGCCCCTATCAAAATCATAAAGCAGTCTTAAAAAGTTCATATTTAATCTACCAGTATAAATGCTTCTAATTTTTTATAGCTATTAAGTTATTAGAATCACTTAGTTTCTCTATCCTATATGTCTGCCACACATTTTCTAAAAATATTTATAACTGCTTTCTTTTTCCATAGCTTCAGGATCAGTGGTTCTCAAAATGTGGTCCAAGGTCACACAAGGGTTCCCTAGACCCTTGGAGGGGGTCTGCAAGATCAAAACTACTTTCTTAATAATACGAAGATGTTATTTGCTCTTTTCATGCTGATTCTTTCATGACTGATTGAGTTTACCAGAAGCTATATGATGTATACTTTATAGCTCTAGTGGGTTTATGTGGCAAACAGATGTAACAATCTTCTTGTCTTCTATTAAACCAGACATTAAAAAGATTTGTAAAAATAAAAAGCAATTCCAATCTTTTCACTACATTTTTTGTTTTAAAAATATAATTATTTTTTAAAAAGTTATACATATTAACATGCAATGGGGTTGTTATTATTAAAGAATTCATAAATATATATAAATCTTTCTTTCAATTTTAATGTGTAATGACTGCATTGATCAATAGAACCCACACTGACAAAAATTCCTTAGGGTGCTCAATAATTCTTAAGAGTATAAAATGGTCCTAAGGCCAAAACATTTGAGACCCACTATTTCGGACAAATTTCCTTCTTCATCATCTAAACAAAACTTTTAGATAAAGGGATAAAAAGATTTCTTTCTTCAATATTTTTGCAAATGTTATTGGAAATAAAATCTGTCCCCTCCCTGTCCCCTTCCCTTCCTTTCTATGATAAAACATCCTCTGACTTTAAGTAGGGAACAAAGTATTCGGTGAGGACGATGTCCAAGTAACACTCACCTTTACTAAATCTGTGTAGCCGGTTTCTTTTGGGGTCCACCAGGGTTGAGCTTTCAGACCATTCACGTTGTAGAGTGAGCGCTGCCAGACAGACGCAAAATGTCCTCGCTTGTGCCCAAGCTCATACCACTTATATGCCTGGAAGAACAGGAAGAATGTGCTCCAGACTGTTCTCTCGACGAAGTATTTTTATTAATTTAAAAATTAAATACATTAAAAATAAGGTATTACTTTTAGCCATTTAAATAAAGAGCTTGCTGTTAGGTACTTAAATCTGCTGAAAATCTGTTGAAAATATTCTTTCATTGGGTTTTTGATTATGACTTATTCGTATAAATGAACGTCTTTCCCTGTCCACATTCAAGGCGGCTACCTCAAGGTAACAAGGGTGCAAATCCTCAATTAAGTAGACAGAAGGGAAATATTATTCTGAGTTGGCAATAAATATAGTGTTAGCCCATATTAGATTTTTAAAAGGGAATTTTTGTTCGTATTTTTTTTTCCTGCCATAAGTGATAACATTTGTGGCTTTAGGCTAGCGGTAACGTGACACAACTTGCCTCCAAGACTAGGCTTTTCAGGGACAGCTGGCTGCAGAGTATGCTGCTCCAGATGGCTCCTTCAAATGACGTCCTAACCATATGCTCCCCAAGTGTCCCTGCCCACATGCTTCCTGCAACGTGCATGCACCACTGTCTTTGGAATGGGTGGTGATTCTAATGGTGCACTTAGTATCATCCTCTCTCTTACCACATGTCTGATTTAATGATTACTTTTGAAGAGTGATTTCAAATACATTTTTGATTAATAAAAATAAAAAAATGTTAACTTTTAAAAGCCTTTGAAAATTTATTTCAAATTTTTCTTCATTAGAAAAATAAAGCATGATAGCAATACCACCTCATATTTGCAACAGCACCTTAACGTTTACTACTTGCTTTTACATGTGTAATTTCATTTGATCTTTGTGATTACCCCCAATATCTTCATTTTACAAATGTTGAAACTGAAGTTAATAAGGGCTACATCTCTTGAAACTAGAATCCAGGGTTCCTGGCAACTTGTTCTACTCTCCTATTTTTGTTATCATTTAACAAAAACTATCAAAAATAATTTTCTTATTTAATTATCTCCTAATATCTCAAATTAAGAATGTATATAAATATTTACTTTCCTTAAAACACATGTAAGTTGTAGCCAGAAATTCTTTAAAAATCAGAAAGTTAAAATGGCTAATTTTTTTTAAAAAGCATTTACCTTTGAAATTAATCCAACTTTTGTGGTTATATTTTTTTTAATAGCATTTACCTTTGAAATTAATTCAACTTTTGTGGTTATCTTTGTCCAATTTCAGTTTAGGGTTTTATTTCCTGTACTTTTCAGTGTAAAAGTGAACAACAATATTAATTACAACAGATTATTTTTTTTAAATTCATTAATTTTCATGCCATCAGTACTTCATTTTAAAGACTAGGCATATTGTTAGAATAGAGAGACAAAAGTTATAGGAAAAACAAAAAGCAAATATTATAGCTCTAGTCACTCAATATGCTGGTCTGGTGGTCAGAGTAAATCACTGCACTTACAACGGCATGTTTACACTGTCTGTAAGGTCTTTTCTGACACTCCAAGTGTACTACTGCATCAAAATAGAGCCCTTAGTTTTGCACTCTCCTGCCATTTGGCTTTTGGGAGAAACAAAATTGCAAAAATGATATATCAGTAACTAAAACTCATCTTCAACGATATATGACATAGGGGACCCAATCAGTTCAGCTAGATTGCTTCTTTGTAAACATTTAAACTACTTTATAATAAAAGTTGCTAGAAAATCAACAATCAAGTTAGAATCTTCTGAAAACTTCCTCTTTCCTATTTCTTGTCTTATCAGGAAATTTTATATGTCTAATCAGGAAAACTAAGACAGTAAGAGTACCTGGGCCACCTTCTTAAATGTGTTTTATGTCAGTGTCATCTCCGGTTTCGTAAAATTATTGCTATGTATGGTTTTATCTCTCAAACACACGTGCGTGCGCACGCACACACACACACCCAGAAATAGTATGTTGAAGGATTCCAACTCAGGAAAGCTCGGCCACGGCTGTGACTGGGCCTGTCCTGAGTGGCTCTGTTTGCAGCCTGCTGCCCAGTGGGGCCCAGAAGACATGTCTGATGAGGACAGTGGCAGCAAGCTGCCTACGGAGGGCTGGGAATGCTGGGACATGGAAATACGACTTTATTTTATTTTGCACTGCAGGTTTTTTGAGGATAGGGTGTCCTGAAAGAGAGACTGAAGCAAGAACAACAGCCAGGTTCTGATGGGTAACAAAGACTGGAATCCATGCGGACTAGGTGCCAGGGAGGACGGGGTGGAGCTGAACCCCCAGAGCTGGCCTGACTGAGGGGGACAGGGAGGAGCTAAAGCTCACTCATATCTTGCGACTATATTTTTGTGTCACTACCTATCACTACTACAGCCACAAGTGTTCATCTTAAACTTGGCATTAAATATTCAGAGGGTAACAAGTTACTAAGCTATTAGGATCAGTTGAATAAAGACTTCATTCTAAAAATAACTACTTTTAAAAATTCTAAAATAAAACAAAAATGAACCTAGGGAAGCTATTAAAGTATTTTTAAAAGTTTAAATAATTTCAGAGACATCTCTCTATTTCATAATTTAAAAAATACTTTCCCAAGGCAATGTCTATCTTTCTATACACATACGGCATATAGCAATTTAGAGACTGCTCTTGTGATTATGTAGCTGATTTCTCAAAAGAAACTATTAATATAAAAGCCAAATCCTAAGGATCTTTTATTTTTTTGAGTCAGGGTTTCGCTCCATCCCCAGGGTGGAGTGCAATGGTGTGATCATAGCTCACTGCAGCCTCAAATTCCTGGGCTCATGGGATCCTCCTGCCTCAGCCTCCCAAACTAGGACTATAGGCATGCACCACCATGCCCAGATAATTTTTTTAATTTTTTTGTAGAGATGGGGTCTTGCTATGTTGCCCAGCCTGTCTAGGACTCCTGGCTTCAAGTGATCCTCCTACCTTGATCTAAAGTGCTGGGATTACAGGCATGAGCCACCATAATCAGCCCCAAGAATTCTTTATATGATTAAGCTGAAGTTGTTGGGTTGTTTCAAACATACTTTAAAGAGCTAAAGAGTTTCAATCACTGCCTTCAAAAGTACATACTCAAAATATGATTTCAATTGAAACTTTCTCTTGGACATACTTATTCTGCCAACTCCATCCTCTACTGGAGAGAACAAGAAGTTCACAAACTCATTACCTCTTTGTTCCCAACCCTCTGCATGGCATCTCCCAGGTGGAAATAAAATCTCCCGTCATTGGTTCCAGGATCCCCAGATTCTATTCCTTCCTGTAGAAAGGACACTGTTAGTATTTGTCAGAGAATTAAATACCAGTTTTCATTTATTGATTTACATTGACTTTCCTATTATGTACACAGGAAAATACAAGAACTAGAAAAATACATCTCAATATTAAAATTTAGCAATGAGGTTACTGGTCAACATTTGCAATGCAAAAGCAAAAGGAGGTCAGAAAGCTAAATGTAATGATACATCTATCATTAATCATTAGTGGGCTAGCCTGTAAAATTAGTATGCTATTTCTTGCATCTTCTGTGTGGGAACAATCATATTGCAATAATCCAAAGAACTTCTCTGGCCAGACAGCTCTCACATGTGTTTTGTTCTCCAAAGCTGACCACATTTCATCTAAAGGCTTTTTATTCCTGAACCAAAATGTTGACCTGCTCATGTGTGAAGTGACAGCAGCCCAACTGCAGGTCCTATTTCTTTCCACACAAAACAAATGTGTCCTTACCTTTTAATGAAAATTTTAATAAAACATACAGAAGAATTAAAGCCAATTTGAATCTTTTAAAATGTCATTTTTATTAAACAATTCCTTATTCTAAAACATTTAGCCAATTCCCCCCATCTCCCATATAAGGACTAAAATTGAGATTTATATATTAAAAAAAAAAGAAAGAAAATATTAAAGAGAATGAATTTAGAAAAGCAAAAGAAGCAAAGCAAAAAATATTTAAATGTCAAGGACTTTCTTCTAAAAATCTGCATTGTTGAGGGCTCTTCACAAGAAGCACATTATATTTCCCTAGGAAGAAATTGTATTTATATAATGTTGGAAAGTAGTAAGTTCCACGAGGGAAGGGGAGGCGCATCACCCAGGCCAGGAAGCTGTTAGCAGGGCTCCTAAGCGACCAGCACTCAAATGTCCTTGCCTGTTAACTGTCCAACCCAGCAGGCGTTCTCCCCATCTCCGCAGCAGGGAGATACTATTAGGCCCCCCAGTGTCACAGGAAACATAAGGGGACATTTTACGTCAGAGAAATCCGCGTGCCCACAGGGCCCTGGCAGGGACTGTCAAAGTCTGCAGAGGCCCAGCAATAGCCTGGACAGATTAGGAGTGGCCCCACCTCAAGGGGGAACCACAGCTCAGTTCCAGGTGTGGGGAAGTGGGCCAGTGTGACCTTTCAAGAAAAACTAGAAGCCTGAGTGATTACATAAAATGTTCAGATTCTCAAATAAGGCAAGCAATTAAAGTTATTTTTCACAGAGCTGTGCTGGCCAAATATGACACACAAGCTATCTGCAATCAGTGGGTGGTTATTTGGGATCTCTGATTTAAGTCACGTGAAAGAGATCATAAAAATGAAATATACTGCTACTTTAAAAATACAGTTCACAGCTATCCAGCTACCTGTCCAATACGGTAGCTGCTAGCCACATGTTATTATTTAAATGAAATGAAATGAAATGAAAAATTGACTTCCTCAGTTGCAGCGGACACATTTCAGGTGCTCAGTGGTCACCATATAGGGGAACACACATGAAGAACATTCCCATCATGGCAGAAAGTTCTACTGGACAGCCCTGGGCCAGATTATATGTGATTCTAGTGAACTGATGAAGATTCAATTGGATATAAGAAAAAAAATAACAGCATATTTTAATCTAAATATTTTGAGCTATCTGATACATTTTGGGGGCTTGGCCTATTAATATTTAGTCTGTGAAACTAGACCCACACCTTTCACCTGTCACAAAAATCAACTTACGCTGGGTAATAGACTTGAACCTTAGGAGTGAAAGTATTAGAACTCTAGAGGAAAATGTTGGAAGTACTCTTTTAGACATTGGCCTAGGCAAAGAATTTATGAAGAAGACTCCAAAGGCAATCACAACAGCAACAAAAATAAACAAATGGGACATGATCAAATTAAAAAGCTTCTGCACAGCCAAAGAAACTGTCAAGAGAGCAAACAGACAACCCACAGAATGGGAGAAAATTTTTGCAAGCTACACATCTGATAAAGGGCTGATAACTAGAATCTATTTAGAACTCAGGAAAATCAGCAAGAAAAAAATCAAACAACCCTATCAAAAAATGGGCAAAGGACATGAACAGAAATTCTCAAAAGAAGACAGAATAATGGCCAACAAACATATGAAAAAATGTTCAACATCTCTAATCATCAGGGAAATGCAAATCAAAACCACAATGAGATATCACTTAACTCCAGTGAGAATGGCCTTTATCAAAAAGTCCCCAAACAACAAATGCTGGCGTGGATGCGGAGAGAGAGGAACACTCCTACACTGCTGGTGGGACTGCAAACTAGTTCGACCTCTGTGGAAAGCAATACCTCAAAGTGATACTAGTAGATCTACCATTTGATCCAGCAATTCCACTACTGGGCATCTACCCAAAAGATCAAAACTCACTTTATGAAAAAGACACCTGCACTCGAATGTTTATAGCAGTACAATTCACAATTGCAAAGCTATAGAAACAACCCAAGTGCCCATCAATTCATCAGTAGATTAATAAAATGTGGTATATGTATACCATGGAATACTATTCAGCTTTAAGAAACAATGGTGATATAGCACCTCTTGTATATTCCTGGATAGAGCTGGAACCCATTCTACTAAGTGAAGTATCTCAAGAATGGAAAAATAAGCACCACATTACTCGCCAGCAAATTGGTATTAAAGGATCAACACCTAAGTGGACATACAGGAGTAACATTTATCAGGTGTCAGGAGGGTGGGAGGGGGGAGTAGGGGATGGGTATATACAACCACGAGTAAGATGTGCAACGTTTGGAGGATGGACACGCTTGAAGCTCTTACTCGAGGGGGGGGCATGGGCAATATATGTAACCTTAACACTCGTACCCCCATAATTCGCTAAAAATAAATAAATAAATAAGTAAATAAATAAAATATTTAGTCTGCATTCCTTACCTCACCTTGTGTAGTTAGCCAAGAGTCCTGTATGTACATACTGAGCAGACTCAGTATGTAATTAACTTATAAAAGAAATCTTTCATGCACCATCTATATTTTAAATTATTATAGCATCAATTTTTGTCCACCTTTGCCATTTATTTAAAAAGTAATAACAACTCCAGTTTTAGTTATTTTTTCATAAAATATTTTCCAAATAGTCTCTGCTCACATGGTCGGTATTTCGACATCTGGCACTGCCAGTCGTGGTGGAAGTCCACACTACTATGGATTTCGTCGTCAGAGACGTGCATCCTGACAATGCAAGACTCAGCAGTGCATGCCAGGCTCCCGGGCATAGCCGAGGCTGTCCTGATGACTCAAAGGAATTGGAAGATGAAAGCAGGGAGGGGCAGTAACAGTACCTTTAAATAGGGAATGCTCTCTGCAATCTTGTTCTGTGCCTTCAGGATAAAGCCGTAATGGACTTTGGCAAAGCCATCGTTAGGTGTCACACTAAGAACCTAAACTCCAAGAAAACAAAGAGCCAGTGTGATTGATTACAAATTTTACAAATGGCTGTCAAAACAAATTTTAATTAGCTTTGCTGTACTTGGGTTGGATTATGATGTTACAGCTTCAAACACCATAGCACTTTCGTCTCACGGCAATATCATTAAACCTAAATGGCCCCATTTCCCCTCAACTCAATACGCTTTTCACATTTACACAATGGTTCTTCAAGAATGAAGAAATGAATGAAAAGGCAATAACCATTAAAGCATTGCTTTAACAATGCAAATCAGCAAAATATCTGTCAATTGATACGACTTCAGTATTTTTTTTTAGTGATCAGGGGGAAATTGCTTTACATTTGCTATACTCGAAGACAACTCTGAATGGTTATTAGACATTACTTTATACATGTGCTTTACACATTACCTTAATTAAAAGAAAATTTAGATTTGCATTTGTAATATATCACAATCCATTCATTCAACAAAAGCTGCTTGAGTGCCCAAACTGTTTTAAGCACTGAGGATAAAGTGGTGTGCAAATCTAATATTCTGTGATAAAACCCAGGTAAATATTTCATATAAACCACATCGTTTATTGTTATGTGCTTACTATGATTTAAAGATAAATTATGCAAAATGCCTCTAAATTAAATATTAGCAATGAGAAATCAAAACAACAACAACATTCAACTTGTGAAGCTGCTTAGACAAACTAATTTATAGAACCAAAGACAAAGAAAGAAGCTTTGAGTTGTGTGCATATAGAGAAAAGATGTGTCTCCCATCTCTTCTCTCCATCCTTGAGTCTGAGTAGAAAAAGCGCAGCCACAGCCCCCACGGGGCCTTGCAGAGAAGGAGCTGGTGAGTACGGAGAGGGCACGCCAAGCCCTGAGTGGGTCCGCACGGCACACGCACACAGCGCTGGAACATCGGCGCTTTCAGCCCGTTTCCCGTCCTGTGCCGCATCCCTCAGCAAATCCAGCGTCACTACCTTCAAAGTACATTCAGAATCACACCCCTTGTCACTTTCTTTACTGCTGCCACCCTGCTCCAAGTCTCAGCATCTCTCCCTACCTTCTCTGGGAGCATCCAAGCTGCCCACCCTCTGCACCCCTAGCCCTGCTCTCCACAGAGAGCGCATTCTCTACACAGGGCCCTGAGAGAACCTGCTAGATCCCAGGTTAGATCTCATCCTCCTCTGCTCCACTCCCTCAGAGTGGCCTCCTCTCCTGCCGCTGCCCCTCCCCTGGGAGGCATGCTGGCGCCTTGCTGCCCCAGAGCAAGCCAGGGTGCCCTGCCCCAGGACCTTTGCTCTCCCTGCACTGTGGACATCCGAGCGGGTCACGCCCTTACCTTGGTGAAGGAAGTGCTTGCTCAAAGGTCATCATCTCGTGAGGCCTCTCCCTAGGCACCAGCCCCGTTAGTAACTCAGACCCCTCCCATCTAGTCGGTCACTCTCCATCTTCTTTGTCCTGCCTCATTTTCCTCCACAGCTCTCCTCACCATCTGACCTATTATAATTTTTATTCCCCCACTAAGATGTAAGCCCTACAGGGATTCTGTCTGTCTCACTCACTGCTCATCCACTGTGCCTGGCAGGCAGCAGGTCCCTGAGACATCATCTGCACTAAATGCGAGGCCAGGTGCATGCCGGGCTTCCTCCCTAACCCAGATCTCTGAAAGCCTAGAGTCTGCTTCCCGCGTTTTCCACAGCTCTGTCCCTGGGCTAGATGCTCAGCAGGCACTCAACAAACACCTCTGGAACTGAACCGAAGTGAAGCAGATCACGTTCTGCCAGCATAACCATGAAGGGATTATTATAATTATGACAGCTATGCAGATGACACTTCTGCCTACTGCAGGCACACAGCCACCATCTCAAGTAATTAGTAAACTGATTTGTTTGCTCGACATTTTAGACCACACAGAACTCTTCTAGGGCCTGGACATAAAATCAGGAATGAAATACATTCTCTTTTCTCAGGAGGTTCTCAGCCAAGTGAGGAACACCAATTCCCAGTATGCAACCATCACGGAAGGCGGCGAGTGCAGTCATAGAAACAGGCATGCGCCAGTGCAGTGGGTGCGGACAGGGGGCACCTGGCTCATTCCAGGGGGAGTGTGGGTGTGGCAAGTTCCAAAGGGAATTATTTAGGGATCAATAGTTCTCCAGGGAAAAGGAAGATGGAGACATTGAGGGAGAAGGCATCCAAGCCATAGTAGAAAGTGAGTAAAAGAGGATGGTAGGCCAGGAAGAGAAAAAGGGGATGTTGTTAAATTATAAACAAAAAGTGACAGGGGAAGAGAGTGGAGAGGGCAGAAGTCAAGTCAAGTCACAAAGGGTCCTGTTTAATATTACGTGCAATATGATCCCTTGGTAGAAAGAAATTACAAACCCTTCTACTTATATCTATGTCTGAAATAAACCATTTAGTATGAAACAAGCTCCATGGCTCTCCTACAATCTGCATGGGGGTCAGTCACATGTCCCATTCGGCACAGATGCTATCAGGAGGGAAGACGGGGGCTCAGGCACCCAGAGCTGCCGATGCAGCTGCCCTCCCCTCTTGATTCTATACCTTCAGGTACTGGGCTTATTGCAGTTCACATGTGGGTGTATAACCGACGTGTAGGCTGTATTGCCTAGTTGTAACCTGCAAACCCTTAGAAAATGACAAGCGGTGTTACACCATTGCTAAGAAACCCTGACTGAGACTGCAGTTGACCCTTGAACAAGGGCTAGAACTACACGGGTCCACTTAGGATTTTCTACCACCTCTACCACCCCTGAGACAGCAAGACCAATCCCTCCTCTTCTTCTTCCTCCTCCTCTTCCATAGTCTGCTGAATGTCAAGATGATGAGGATGAAGACCCTTATGATGGTCCACTTCTACTTAATGAATGATAAATACATTTTATCTCCCTTATGATTTTCTTAATATTTTCTTTTCTCTAGCTCATTTTACTGTGAAAACACATTAGAGAATACATATAGCACACATTATACATGTTAATCAACTGTTTATCTTATTGGCAAGGCTTCTAGTCAATAGTAGGTTATTAGTAGTTTTTGAGGAGTCCAAATTTATATATGGATTTTCCACTGCACGTGAGGTCAGTGTTCCTCACCCCCACAATGTCCAAGGGTCAACTGTAATAGTGATATTACACAGATTCCCTCTCTATATACCTAACACATACCCTAACCCTCCCGTACAAACTGATACAACTAACATTGCTACTCCCACTACAAACTCTTTGCATGACACATTACTAGGATTAAAACAAATCATATAATCATAAATAGCTTTACACATTGATATCACTAACATACTAATTGTTGAGTGAGAGTGAAAAAATTTTTTTGGCAGTTAAATAAAATTCTAAAAGGATTTTAAATATTTGATTTCATCTTAAAACTTATTTGGGGGTATGTGCCTTTTAGAATGTGTGCATAATACATGGGTACATATACATACACACATAATATATAAACACATAAACATATCTCAGGTATTTGCCTGACCATTTTGTCTGGAAGGATTTGCAGTCAAACATGTTTGAAGACCACAGCTGTGAGCAATGGGAACCACATAAGGGTCAACTCGGAGGAGATGGTTAGATTTGTGTTTCAGTGTTGATTAAGGTCAGAAGAGAGCCAGCCAGGGCAGGACAAACCTGTCCTCAGTCAGGCAAGAGATCAAAAGTGCTTGGGTTACGAAACACTTTTAAATATATTCAAAAGTGAAAAGGAATATAAATTAGCAAGCTGGTACTAGACTGTAAACTCCATGAGGGCACATTCTGCGTTTGTTTCATGAACTACCATTCCCTAGGCTGATGTGTGTGGGTTCTATAAATGCATGTTGACTGAGTAAATGGACATACAAATGATAGTGGGCGGGGGAAAAAGTCAGGAAAGTGCTGGACTTCCCTCCCTGGTGGCCTGGGGAGCTGGCTGGCAGTGCTGCGCAGGAGTGGCTCACAAACACTACAGATGTAGCCATCAATGTGCACCCATTATAAAGCCAGTCTCTTATAACTAAAAGCAGCAAAAACCCAGATAGGAAACTATCAATGATTTTTTTTTAATAAATTTACTCAAAAATAAAAATCAACATGAAGAAAAATACACAATTACAATATTAGTTTTCTACGCATGATCTTTGATAGAGACATAAACATAACAGGATGAACTTTGGTTAAGGAAAGAGAATCCATTAGATATAGCTCATTAACGTAGAAGTGAGGGGAGGGGGAAAAAAAGGTAAACCCCACACGTATTTTCAGTCTATTAATGCTTCTTTAGAAAGAAACCCGCTCAGTTGCACAATATGGCTATACTTTAGATGTTCTGCCTTCTATTAGGCTTACTCAGATGAGGTTATGAGTTCAAAGGTATAAACAACAGCAGGTATATTTTATTTTTTAGGATGAAGTAAAATGCTTCCCATACCTGAGATTTAGTGTCAGAGATACATTCAGGGAGGTTTTAAAAGGTGAAAAAGGACAAATCCATAGTGGGTTACAGAAAGCAGTGTGCTCTCAGAGCCTGCCCTAACTTCAGTGTTTTGGTACCCAGTCAACATAGTGTCTTTTAGATATTAATAGAAAGAAGTAAGGGAGAGGGGGATGCCAGAATGGAGGAGAGATGTGGAGGGAAGGAAGGAAAATAGGAAAGAATTCTACAAAAAGGAATGAACGAATTCATTCATCCTTTCTACAGTTCTGTCTTTGTGGCCCCTGACAGTGGGAATACAGGGACACGTCTGCTGTAGCTTTAGAATTGTTACATTCACAAGATCCTGGATCATTGAGATACACGATGCTTCCCTTAACCAAACTCTGCAAGGCAGGGCACTGAATGTTATGTTTTGGCCATTAGAAAATACATTGTTCCACATGGACTTATTTTATGACCAGGAACAGGTCTTTAGTGGATGGCACACATTTTCAAAACTGTAGGTTGAAAACATTCTGTGTAGGTAGTAGTGATGTCATAAAAACCAAATGTCTTATTTCTGCTCTCTCAGAAAACATAAAAATTATGAGAAGGGTAAGAAGACAACTGCTCCAAAATTCAACGATTTTCAGTTGCATGTCAACAGCAATAAGCAGAGGGAAGTGCCACTTAGAGAGAGGACCCGGTCCCTGGACTGAGTGTGGAATTGCTGTACTTAATGGCATTTTTTAAATACTGTAGAAGGAATCCTATTGGCTATCACTGGGTAGCAGCATTTTGATGCAGACTGCACTAGCTTGAAAACCATGGTTCAACAGGCCTAAATTAAAAAATAACAACTAAATGTGTTCATCCTTCTTTTACAGAGGCATTAACTTTTCCCAGCATCAAAGTTCATTGAGTATCCATTCATCCTATACCAAATGAATTCCTTCATTGCCTAAAGAAGTCACAGTTTTCCAGATTTTATAGTTACTTGTGACTTAGAGGTTACCTATTAAAACATCCATTATCAAGTAGAAATCCTTTGAAAAGCATCCATGCCAGAGAATTGACAAGTCAATGCCCTTCTGAAAAGTTAGTGATTTATTCCGTATGCTTGAAAGGCCCATGTTCTGTCCTCTCTCTCCAGACTATACATTTAATGGAAAAAAATAAATAAAAAGATTATGGGTTTTTACATATGTGGAAACTTGAGTTCCTCTTCCTATCATAAAGAACACTTTTTAAAAGGCTATTTATGGAAAGATAAATATGAAGTTCTAAAACTATCACAATTACAAGTTGAAGATTTTGGCGTGCCAAGTGTTAACTAAGATTTAAAATCTTCTGATCAAGGGAAAAAAGCAAGGTTAAAATAAAGTTTAGCATATGTCAACTATCAAAATGCATGCTATTTATCTTAACTGAGAGAGACCGGGCATGTTAAATGTAGTTTACAAATAGCATTAGAACTTAATGTTCAAAATAATTTGATGTAGTTAATAGAAGATTGATGCTTACCTCTTCATAAACCTTCTTGGCATTGTCATTATCTCCTATCAAGAGGTATCCCACTCCAAGGTCATTCTTTAAGGAAGTATCATCAGGAAACAGTTGAACTAATCTCTGTAGGGTGAGCAGGGAACCTCGCATATGACCTGAGTTGGTGGGAAAGAAAAAAAAAAAAAAGCCCAACAGAAACAAAAACAGATCATGTACACCTTTGTAATGAGAAGATGCATCATGACAGACTATGCAATAGAGCCCGAAAACCAGCTTAAATCTGACTTTATATATTAGTGGTTTATTAAGGACCTAGTAAGATTTCACGATGTAGTTGCAGTGGTATCAATAACTGCCATAAGTAGATATTGAATAAATATTGATTATAAACATTTTTAAAGACATTTTCATTCTAAATTCATCAACATTTACGTTTTTAGGTTAAATTCCCTCTTAAGAAAGTTTTAGTTACCAATTCCTTGTTAAAGAGTGTTTTGCCAAGACATTTTTGGCTTATTAACTTTAAGATCATGAATAGAGGGTAGACAATAATAAGTTTAATAATAGAGTTCAGGGTCTAGCACCCTGTATGAAACCTTAAAAAGGCACTGAGGTACACAGGACTTAACTGCTGACACCATCTCCAATTAAAAATGTACTCCTTTCTAGGTAATAACACAGCAAAGGAAACATCCTCCAGTACTATGGGACCCTCTGGTGGATGACAGCATACTATGCACTACCTGATATCCTGTGGAATCATGAAAAATCCAGCTTCAATTCATTTTAAAGCTCTGCATGGAAATTTAAAATTTCTGGGGTCAGGTATCATTATTTCTTGCCACAGTTGGAAAGAATCAACTGTATAAAAGAAAATGTGCACAAGACTAGCATACATTAAAAAAAAAAAATGAAATTACCTAAAGGGCTTAGCTGCCCACAAACTGACCATTAGGCGGGAGTGTGGCAGGAGTTGTCAATCAGCAAAGCTTCACCAGCTCAGCCGTGGCCCACACCCTGTTCCTGGTCAATCTTATTCCAATCACAACTCAGGGTGAGTTTGCTTGATAAATAAGTCTCTTTTCTATACCCTTCCTTCCCTCCCTACCTGCTTCTAAACTCTTCCTATTATCCATAACAAAGACACAGATGAAATTCCCTCCTGCCCCTTCCACTCAGCATTCCAGAATCTGTTCTCTTGGGAGCACATTTCACCATCTTGCCATTTTCACTAAAATCTGCCTGCAATTGCTTTGGAGCCCTCTCAAGTGAACTTGCCTCATTCTCATTCAGAGGAAAGGACTATATTCAAATACTGAAGGATGGTTGTGCTAGAGGGTTAGATTGCTTCGTAGGGGTCTTATGACAGGGCTGAGATTAGGGTGAGGCAAGGAGACACCAAAAAAAGTCAACACCAAAGAAGTCCATAATTCTGATTTGCAGAATAGTTTAATGCATCCTTTTAAAAAATAGAAATTAATATAAATATCCATGATGAACAAAATACTAACAACTGAAAGACAGAATCAGTAAACAGTGCTACACAGAGCTGTATCAGAGGATGAGGCAAAAGGAAAACTCACTGAGATTGCCTTTGTGTCCATGGCCAGTGCCTCCATCGCCTCCCCTGAGTCTCGGCCCCGCCTTTCCAACCTGTATGTGTGCAGCATGTCTTCCCTCCCCTGGATGGTCCCCTACAAACGTAAGTCTAACTGATCGCCTCTTTAACTCATTGACTTACTATTCACAGATTTTGGTCTTCTACAAAAGTGATGCAACTCCCCTTTATTCTATTCCCTAGAAGACTGAGCAAAGGGTCACTTGGGCCTTAACTGACATTGATAATCTGTCCATGCAACTCTCCAGCCAGCTGAGCACCCACCTTCCCTCCAGGTTCACCCATGAGATGTTGAGGGGAGAGAATCACAGCCCAGTTAAATGAAGTTGGCTCACTGCTACTCTTAACCTTAACCTGTCTTCAGCACTGGGAACCTGGGTTGGTCTAAAGGATGCTTATGCTACTCTTATTCAGGTACTTGCAAATCCACGTTATGATTAAAATATTTTCTTGGCATTTTCCTAGGTATAGGGTTGAATCTTACAAATAAAATTTTTAGAGTGCCTGGAACTCCTAACATTCCTCTCTAAAAACTTTTCCATGCAAAATTTTATGCTCCATGAATGAGTTTGTTTTAGTTAAGAGAGAAAAGAATTTGGCATTACTGGAAGAGTTTTTTATTCCAGATCTGTTAATTTATTAGCTGTGGTTTCTTAGGCAAATTATTCAAGCTCTCAGCACTTTATTCCCCTCACCTTTAAAAAAAATGGGAAGAGACAGGGTAGGGGAAGGCATAAAAATACTATCTGCATCTTTGTAATTATGGGCATACCTCGTTTTATTACATTTTGCTTTACTGCACTTTGCAGATACTACGTTTCTCACATATTGAAGGCAATCCCATGATGAGCAAGTCTATTTGCACCATTTTTCCAACAGCATGTGCTCACTCACCGTGTGTCTCTGTGTCACATAATGTTAATTCTTGCAATATTTCAAACTTTTTCATTATTATTATGTCTTTCAGTGTTGATCTGTGACCAGTGGTCTTTGATGTTGCAATTTAAATGTTTTTGGACACCACAAACCACACCCAGATAAGATGACAAACTTAATTGATAAATTTTGTGTGTGTTCTGACTGTTCTATTGACCAACCATGCCCTTGTCTCTCTCCCTCTTCATGGGTCTTCCTATTCTCTGAGATACAATATTGAAATTAGGCCAATTAATCCTAACAATGGCCTCTAAGTGTTCACTGAAAGGAGGAATCACATGTCTCTCATTTAAAGTTAAAAGCTAGAAATAATTAAACTTAGTAAGAAAGTCATATTGAAGTCCTAGACAGGACAAAAGCTAGGTCTCTTGTGCCAAACATTTAGTCAAGATGTGAATGCAAAGAAAAAGTTCTTGAAGGAAATGAAAAGTGCTACTCCCATGAACACACAAATAATAAGAAAGCAAAACAACCTTATTGTTGATATGGAGAAAGTTTTAGTGGTCTGAATGGAAGAACAAACCAGCCACAACATTCCCTTAAGCCAAAGCTTAAATCAGAGCAAGATACTAACTCCTGTTAATTATTATACGAAGGCTGAGAGAGGTGAGGAAGCTGCAAAAGAAAAGTTGGAAGCTAGCACAGGGTGGCTCATGAGGCGTAAGTGCAAGGAGAAGCAGCAAGTGCTGATGGAAAAGCTGTAGCAAGTTATCCAGAAGATCTAGGTAAGATCATTGATGAAGGTGGCTTCACTAAACAACAGATTTTCAATGCAGACAAAACAGCCTTCTATTGGAGGAAGATACCACCCAGGACTTTCATAGCTAGATAGAAATTGATGCTTGGCTTCAAAGGACAGGCTGACTCACTTGTTAGGGGCTAATGTAGCTGGTGATTTTAGGTTGAAGCCAATGTTTATTTACCGTTCGAAAGTTAGGTTGAAGCCAATGTTCATTTACCATTAGAAAAATCCTAAGACCCTTAAGAATTACACTAAATCTACCCTGCCTGTGCTCTAGAAATGGAACAATAAAACCTGGTATATCTGTTTATGGCATGGTCTATTGACTATTTTAAGCCCACTATTGAGATCTGCTCAGAAAAAAAAAATTCTTTCTAAACACTATTGCTCATTGGCAATGGACCTGGCCACCCAAGAGCTCTGAGGGAGATTCACAAACAGATGAATGTTACTTTCATGGCTACTAATTTTTCATCCATTATATTATATAGCCATAATATTATATCCTGAGAAACTTTCAGGTTTTATTAGTTAAGAAATACATTTTGTAAAGTTATAGCTGTCAGAGAGCATGATTCCTCTGATAGTTCAAAGTAAATTGAAAACCTTCTGCAAAGAATTCACCATTCTAGACGCCATTATGAATATTCATAATTCATGGGAGTAGGTCAATATATCCGCATTAACAGGAGTTTGGAAGAACTTGATTCCAACCTTCATGGATGACATTGGGTCCTTCAAGACATGAATGGAGGAAGTAACTGCAGATATGGTATAAAAAGCAAGAAAACTAGAATTAGGCATTTAGCCTGAAGATATAACTGAATTACTATAATCTCAGGATCAGACAAATGGAAGAGGAGTTGCTTTTTATAGATGAGCAAAAAAAGTGGTTTCTTGAGATGGAATCTACTCCTGGTGAAGAGGCTATGAACATTGCTGAAATGACAACAAAGGATTGAGAATATTACGTAAACTTAGTTGATACAATAATGACAGGGTCTGAGAGGATTGATTTCAATTTTGAGAAGTTCTACTGGGGGTAAAATGCTGTCAAACAGCATCACATGCTACAGAGCAATCTTTCCTGAAAAGAAGAGTCAATCGATAGGGCAAACTTCATCGTTGTCTCACTTTAAGCAATTGCCACAGCCACCCCAACCTTTAGCAACCACCACCCTGATCAGCCAGCAGCCACCAACTTCAAGCCAAGACCATCCACCAGCAAATAGACTGACTCACTGAAGGCTCAGATGATTGTCAGCAATTTTTAGCAGTAAAGTATTTTTCAATTAAGGTATGCAGATTGTTTATATTTTCGTTGTAATGCTATTGCACATTTAACAGAATAGGGTTGAATGCAAACATACATAAATTTTATATGCACTGAGAGACCAAAAAATTCATGTGACTTGCTTTATTGTGATATTTGCTTCATCACAGTGTTCTGGAACCAAACCTGCAACATCTCCAAGGTATGCCTGTAATAAGATTTGCACTGCCATTTCGGTTTTAGAGATGGTCAGTCTAAACCACAGTCAGATAAATTACTTGAAATTATTTATAAAACTCAGGTTTTCTCTCATGTAACTTAACTCTTCTAAGAGTATACAGGGTCTGCAGGTTCTTCACTATAAAAGCAGGCCATCTCCCCCGAATTAACTCTTACCTAGAAATTGCTGTCTGTCTGAGCGCCGCTTCAAACTCAGCTTCAGCAGGTCTGAGGGGACATCGGGCAGGCTGGCCACCTCTTGGTAGGTCTCGATGGCCCTGCGCAGCAGCTCGTTGCTCCTTCTCTTCTCAGCCAAATCATCTTCACACTAGAGGAAGCCCCCAGACTGGATAAATGTTCCATGACTTGCTATATTCATAATTATGCAAATAGTCATAAAAAGTTAACTTTTAGACATGCTTTAAAAGAAATTTAAGACAGCTTAACCTTTTCTTTTTGCTAACAGATTAAAAAAAAACAAAAGAAAGCAAAATAACACACTCTTAATAATATGAAGAGAAGTTTGCTAATAAACTACAGATAAGAAAGAACATCATAAAAGCAAGAATAATGTATGCTACGGCTGATGGAGATTTATATCCTGTTAGTAGAATTATACAGGTTGAGACTCCAGTCTAAGTTCCTGCTCTTTCATTAATTTATTCATGTGTTCATTCATCCACTCAACAACTATTTCCTGGGAGCAAGGCTCTATTCTATGAATGTGGCAGACAAATTCAACAAGACAGACATTTTTTGGTTTCATTTTGGAAAGGAAAAAAAGATGATACACAAATAAAGTTATCATATGTCTAATGCCATAAGTGCTGTGGATAAAAACAAAGCAGGCTTGGGAGTGAGTGCAGGGTGGGGTGGGAAGGAAGTTGCTAATTTAATCAGAAGGATCAGGGACTGAGAAAAGGGAGGGAGCAAGTTGGGAGCACATCTGGGGGAAAAAGTGTTTCAGGAGAGAAAACGGTGAGAGGAGGGCTCTGAGACGGCAGTGAGGAATCAAGGAGAGGCCAGTGTGGTGGAGGGGAGGACTGACAGGGCCACATGGTAACTCAGGCCTGACCCACTGTGGCCAGTCCTACCACATGCAGTGAGATGGAAAGACATGCTCTGACACATGTGTTGAAGGGATCCTGGTGGCAGCAGTACGGGGAACAGACTGAGGGTTTGGGGGAGCAGCAGAGAGCCCAGGAAGACACTCCTGCAGAAATCCAAACATGGGAAGATGTGGCTTGGAGCAAGGTGGTAATAATGGAGATGGGAAGAAGTGACTGGATTATAGACGTCTTTTGAAGGTCAGAGCCAACAGATTTGCAGATGGTCTGAACGCTGGGTATGAGAGAAAGGGGGAGAGATAAGCCAGGAATGACATTAGTGTTTTTGGCTTGAGTGATTATGAGATAAACTGTAATTCCCTGGGAATGGGAAGACGGTGGGTCTGGGGGAGTGTGGGATCAGTTCAGTCTGGGACATACGAAACCCTAAAGGGAGATACTGACTAGGAAGGCGTGAGCCTGGGGTTCAGCAGGGCGGTCAGAGGCAGACACCTGGGGGCCATCAAGGAGAGATGCTCTGTGAAGCTGGGAAGCTAGAAGCAACTGTGAGCGTGGACAGATAAAAGGAGAGGTCTGAGAACTGAACCCCTAGGGAAGGCTAATGTTTGTAGGGCATTAGAGGTCAGGACCACAAGGGAAGGCCAGCAAAAATGAGGGAGAATGAGTGAGGTGAGACGAAAATAACAACAAAAATGTGGTGGTCTGGAGGCCAAGTGGACAGAAGGCAGAGCTCGAGTGTGTTATAATGGCTGTCGGGTTTGGCAGGATGAGCACTGAGGCTGGATCCCACCGGACTGAGCCTCGGAAGCCCTGAAAGAGCATTTCCACAGGACTTGTGGGGCTGTGCAATGTGGCACAGCAGGTTCAGAGAACATGGGAGGGAAGGGCGTGGAGGTGGAGACAACTCTCTCAAGCACTTTCACCGTAAAGGGGGCTGAGAGAGGGGCCGGCACGTAGAGGGGAATGTGGAGACACTAGAGAGTTCTATGAGGATGGGAAACGGTACAGCATGTTTCCAACAGATGCAAAAGACCCAGCAGAGAGGGGAAATCTGATGATGCAGAAGGGGCCACACAAATTAGAAGGACGTCCTTGAGCAGGTGACAGGGGAATGGGCACCAGACCGGTCCACAGGGCATACGGCACAGGTGTAGGCAGGTTGTTAGCACAGCAGTGGGGTCATGTGGGAACTCTCTGGATACTTCTATTTTCTTATGAAGTAAGAACCAAGATCCTTAGCTGGAAACTGAGAACATGGAGTGAAATACTAGAGGTAGGAAGGGAGAGGAGAATGAGTAAAATGGTCATCAGTCTCTCATCAGACCTAGCAGACTACAAATTGAAGATTACCATTTGAGGAGAAATGATATCAGTTAGATGCTAAAAGTAGCACATATAAATTTTTTCTCAGAATATTTAAACATGTTTTATCCATTTAACATGTTTATCTTTTAAAAATAAAGTGTGCACTCTAGTCATCATAGAGATGTCTACAGAACCAAAACTAAGCACCACTCCGCAATGTGAGGACGTGGTAAGAAAATGATCCCTCCTTCCCCTCCCCCAATAAAAAAACTAATAAGAATGAGCACAAATTGATAAAATAAGACATTTGTGGGAATTTCTTCAGAAAATAACACATGAATGAAATAACCTAAGGCACAGTGATCAGGATAAATTTCTCAAGGTGATGCAGGCCAGAATTGAAGCAGTGCCACTAGAAGTGGACAGATTCATGAGAAAAGAAAATTAGTAGGACAAAGATCTCTATATTAGAAAAGGGCAATTCACTCTTCTTTAATGGAAATATGCTCCAGACTATTCAACTACCTTTTCAAATCTTCAAATGGTCTCCAGAATAGACTTATCTATCAGGAAAGAAAGTCCAGTGACAATGACCCATATTGATCGTGATGCCAGATGGCCTTGTATCATATATTCATATGCAGGCTTTTCTGTTTAGGCATCAGTTTCTTGTGAGTTTGGTTATGGTGAGTTAACTTCCCAGAACATGAATGTTAATAAATAACTTCACAGAAACATAGAGTCCTAGAGCCAAGAGTCCTTTTGAGACCACCTACAGATGATCCTCAACTTACAATGGGGTTACTTCTGATAAACTGACCATAAGTTGAAAATATTACAAGTTCAAAATGCATCTAATATACCTAAACCTACCGAACCTCACAGCTTAACCTAGCCTACTTTAAATGTGCCCAGACCACTTATGTTAGCTAGATTTGGGCAAAATCATCTAATGCAGAGCCTATTTTATAATAAAATATCAAATATCTCATGTAATTTATTGAATACTATACTGAAGTATAGAGTCTACTGAATGCATATTGCTTTCACATCATTATAACATGGAAAAATCCCAATTCAAACCATTATAAGTCAGTCTGTAGTTCACCTTCTTCATTTTGAACCTACAAAGCACCTAAATAGATCCTGGAATGGGAGTTCTCTGCAGGATTAGTAGAAGGATAAATGCCTACATCCTAAGATAATCCTTCTTTACAGAGATTGGAATAAATATAACTAACTTCTTTAACTAAATTCAATCTGAAAAGAGAAAGATGATGCAATCTGTATGCCTTGTCCTCTCCCCAGCACCCCAGGGTCCTTCGTTTTAATGAAGTTATAAACATTTTACAACTTCCAGAATTGGAAAAATATCATTACTAAAATAGCACATAATTCTTTAAAATCTCTTGAATGAAACTGACAGGCACTTGCATTGAAAATCAAAATTGTGCAGATTGATTTTTATCAGTTTAGCATTTGTAGATAAAACGAGCTGAGCTAAAACTGAACATTTGTTACAGGACGTTAACATCTCTCGGAGCCTTTTGTTGACTCTAACTAACTCGCCCATCCAATCTTTCCAGGAGAGGCGTCATTTTCTGCCTCAAAGGCATTAATGGTTTGGGAAAGATAATGAAGTGAATTGAGTCTATAATTCAAGATTTTGTGTCTGGTGTTCTGGAATTTGATCAAAATTGATGTTCACGGTGATGTAAAGATTCAGACAATACTGGTGCTACTTTAGAAATGATAGATACTGTAGTTTATATTTGACTTAATGTTGCTAAATTTTTAAAAATTTGTTGGGATATTCCAAAGTAATTGTTTAATCTGCTAACAAAGAATAAAAGAGTCATAATTTATTCCTTCCTATAAAATCCATGGGATACATAATCATTTTTCCATATCCTTGGGGGACTGGTTCCAAGACCACCACCACTGCTCCCCTCAGATACCTACGTCCAGAGCTGCCCAGGTCCTTGACATAAAATGGCACAGTATTTGCATACAGCCTGGGCACATCCTCCCATATATTAATACTTTAAATCATCTCTCGATTACTTATAATACCGAATATAATGTAAATTCTATGAAATAGTTGAGACATCGTATTATTTTTTATTGTTGTGCAGTTATTTTTCATTGTGTTTTTCCTCAAATATTTTCAATCTGTGGTTGGCTGAATCCAGGGATGTAGAGCCCAAGGACATGGAGGGCCAAATGTAAATACAGGAATCACTGTGTTTCGGAAGCAATGCATTTATTTAGACCTTGGTACTCACGATTAATATTACCTATAAAGAAAAATTCTAAAGCATAAAATATTTTTGTCACAATTAAATTAGCATTTGCATAAACCATTTTTTCTCTCTAGTTATTAGGCTTTCCTTAATCAAATGCCTTAATACTAGTGACAAAATACATCACTTATTTGAATAGTCATTATCTTTTGGTAAAAAACATATTCTCTTATTTAACAGCAATATAATTTAGCAATTTTAGAGGACTACTAACCAAATTAACTTACAAAAATCATTATAGGTGCTATCTGCTAAATTTGATCTGTACCGTGGACAAATGGAACTTATTTGCATTAATTTCTCAAAGACTAAATTAAAACTTAATTAATAAAAATTCATTGATGTTTAATAGGGAGATAGGAAGATGTTAAGCATCTGGATCTCAAGTAGTCACCACCTCTAGTTCAGAGCAAAACACACTTGTTTTATTTGCAGATGTGTTAGTTCCTGTGTGTGTCACGTTAGTGCCTGCACAGACCTTCTCCAAAGGGGTGTTGTCAGCTTTTCCTCTGCCTGGAAAATTCCTGTAGTTCTGAATCTGCAGTTTCCCAGCAAGGCTGACAATCTCATCTGTCCAGGCAGCTGCAGGAGCTTTACTGCCTGGCACAATTGTATGTCCAGCCCTGGCTTTTCCTTGAGTTCCAGGCTCCATGAATTCAATGATCTATCTGAGGCGTCCACTGGCATGCCTTAACAGGCATTACACACTTCATAAGACCAATAGCAAACTCTTGATTTCTGCATCTCTCCAAACTTGTGCTTTCTGGTCAGTAACCAGCACTATCCTCTCCTCAGCTGCCCAAACCAAAAACCCAGGAGTCAGCCTTGAATCCTTGCTTTCTGACACAACTACTCCACGTTCAAGTCCTTTCAGCTCTACCACCTGCCTACATCCCCCACCTCCATGGCTACAACCACAGCCTGAGCCGACAGCATCTTTTGCACATACTTGCTACAGCCTCCTAGTCTTCCTGCATCTACTTTTGCCCCCAGAATCCATTCTCTACCCAGCAACCAAAGCAATCTTTATAAAAAACAAGCAGATCATCTTGTCCATGCTCAAACCTCCCCAGTGGCTTTCCAGCACATGCAGAAGAAAATCTGTAAGGCCCCAGCTTCCCTGGTCCACCGCGGTCACCCCACCCCCAATGCCCTGCTTTTAGTCCTCGGGTGTATCGTATCAAGGATGTTCCCCAGATCACAGCCTTTGCTGTGTTGTTCCCTCTGCCTGGACAGCTCTTCCCACAATCTCCTCACGTCTCAGCCACGTGCTGCCTCCCTAGAGAGCTCTTTTCTGACCACTTACCCAAGGTGCTGCCTATCCCATCCCTTTCCATCACATTACCTGCAGCCAAAAATATCCTAAGAGTTATAACATTCTTTAAGTATATTTTTATTTTATAAAGACTTTCAGGACTTTGCACAAATGCATCCTCATTGGTGACACCTTTCCTGCCACCCTGTCCACCAGGCCAACCCCCTTATGTATCCAATGGCAGTCACTTGCTTTATTTCTGTTCTCCTTAGCACTTACCACTAGCAAGCACATACACTGTCCTTGTCTGTCTCATGCACTGTCTTCCCCTTTACCATGGAAACTCCACAAGGGCAGAGGCTTTTAAAACATGTTCTGTTGATGGCTGTATCTCTAGTGCCTGGAACAGGGCCTGGCACATATGAGGCTCTCACTAAATATTTTGGAGTAATTTAAAAAATATCTTCCACTAGAATATAAGATCCACAAGAACAGGGGCCTTTAGAATGTTCATTATATTACACTGTGAATATTTTAAGCTTTTCTGTATGTTATGTTTTGACATCTCAAAAACCCTATCTGGCTGGGGAAAAACTGCCCTTCCGGAAGCTAGCCAGTTCTCAGAGACAGCAAGCGCTCAGGCTCAGCAGGAGGGAGCCTCTGACAAGCAAACTAACCAATCCGAAGCCACCCCTCCTCCATCTGGCCTAAGTGGCCCAGGACAGGATATTCCTTCCCTTTGATCCCCCCAGGGCCAGGTACCAGGCAAGAAGGGGCTACCATTATGGCCCAAAGCCTGCCAAAATTATGCAAACTAGCCAATCCTAAACTGTCGCCCGACCCTGCCTTTCCCATGGAAACCTCAACTGAGGCTCTGGCCTGTACGGCACACAGGGCTTCCCGTCTCTTGGACCTGTGAGTATAATAAATTCCGCTTTCCCCTAAGCCTCTCCTTGTCTCCTCCGATGGCTGCACCTGACTGATCATCTCATAAAAGAATATAAAACAGATGCTCCCAGGGCCTGAAACAGTACCTGGCACAAGGTGGGTTTGCACAGTTACAGGTGAATGTGGACAAGCTTCATGAAAGACGTTGGAAATTGGAGAGAGCTGAATACGAATGGAGATGGTGGGAGATGGGAATAAGTTAGCTGTTGAGAAATCAGTCAGTTGGAAGAAGCTATAGAGAACTCAGAGTGCATTCTACTTTATATTTTAAGAGTCTTTTCCAAGCATACTTGCAACCTCTAGCTATAAAACTGAGAGTCTGAAAGCTCCACAGAGCCTCAAGTGAAAATTGTGTGGTGGGTTTAAATGGAATGAGACCTGGGTGATGGGAAATCAATGACAAAAGCATTACCCTTTATTTTCTTTTCAAAACCAGAGAGAATTCACATGGAGGGGGAGCAGAAAAAATGTTACTAAATTCGGCAGCATGCAACAGTGATAATTAATTGTCTTATTTAAAATAGTACTTCTTGCTTGGGTTTATGCATATACATGAGAAACTGATTCTGTATAGGAATTAGAAGGGGAAAGCAGAAAATGCAAATAGTGAGAAGTGGAAAATCCAATTACACAGAACACATGAACATAAAAAAAAATGTTTTCTAAGTAGAAGAGTTTTAGAATACCTGTGCCATTCCATATCTTGCTCGTGGACTCTGAGGGTATTTGCGTACTAGTTCTTTAAATGCATTCACTGCTTCCTCAATTTTTCCCTGTTAGGAAGATGCAACTACATAAATAAATAAATTCACATAAATAAATAAATTCACATAAATAAATAAATTCAAATGCATAAGGTTATTCAATATGGTTATTTAATATTCACCAAGTGATTCTGTCAGAATTTATTATATTCCATTCTGAGTTTAAAGATAGTTTTATCTAAGATTAAAAAAAAAACTATTAAGTCAAACACAAAACTAGGAGTGAATATATATATATACACACACACACATACACATAATTTTTAAAAAGACATCTGATAAATGATGTAATGTGTGTCTGTTAAATTGCATTTTCCATATATATATGTATATATATATATACACAGTTCCTACCTATATTCTCAAAGAAGATATTTAGGGTTTAAGTGGGGTGGGGGACACCACTGGCAGCTAGAATGTCTTGGGTCTTTGAGAGGCAGTGAGAGGTCTCATCACAGCTCTGAAGCTTAAACTAAAAGGGTGGGGAATAAACATGCAGGATGTGAGAGCCAACTGCCCATGGTACCATTGCTCACTGAATGTCAGGATTGACTCTGCTTGTTTGGCTAACTGGTGCTCATCACTGCTTCTATGTCACATGAACCATCCTAAGGCTCACAGGGACCCTTAAGAAGATGGTCCAAGTGCCTTCAGGAGGTCTCTGACCATTACTGCAAGTAAAGAAACAGAGGATGTGCAACAGGTAGGTCTGGTGCTGGGGGGAGGCACTCTCTATCCACCTCACTCCATGCCTTGCCATCCCATTGCACAGCAGAAACAAACGTCTCCTGGTTTCCAGTGGATGGACTGCTTAGGGCAAGGATATTGGGAACCACGGGGCAGAGACAGACTGTTCCAGTTGAAGCTTCCTAGATACTCAGCTTTCTATACATTTGGTGAATTCATTCATTCTACATGAAAATGCAAGCTCACTGTCATTGATATGTTTTGACCTTCACTGAGTTTTCATACAACAAAATTTCCTTCGCGAATATGGCTGTGCAAAGCAAACTGTAAAGTACTGCCCTAATGTTATTCACAGCTACGTCTGAAACACTTGACTATTGAGGTGTCAGGTAGCATCCATGTCAAAGTTCCTCCTTAAATTCATTCTTTTAGGTAGACAGGATCAGAGAGGAAGATTTTCTATTCTCTCTCATATGCCTACAAGTGATGATGGGGGTTGGTGACAAACATACATTAACTGTAGTGGTCCTGAGACTGGTTTGAAGCTGGGGTCCAGCACCTACAAGGTACATGACTTATGGCAAGTCACCTCTGGTGCCTCACCTGTAAAATGGTGATGACAGTAGCACCTGACTACCCCTTGAGGTGGTGGTACACAAAGTGCTTACGGACACTGCCGAGAGCAAAGTACTGAACAATGTGAGCTGTCATTATTGTCCCATGCGGGGAGTGTGTTCAGGCACAGGGTAACAGTGCCCGACACAAATAAATCTCTCACCTCACATAAAAGCAGCTTATTGGAAAAGAATGAGAACTTAGATGTAGGGATAAATCAAGCCAGGAACACATTTCTTAAGGTATATTTATTGCCATAAATAATTGCATCCCTATTTAAAATACACTGTCCTCATAATATTAATTTTAAAAACCTCCATTTTATTTTTTCTGTTAATGATTTTAAGGGGTGCTGAAGAAGTCACTTTAAATGTTTTTTCCCCCCTGTATGATTTTCTTATAAAAACCCTGTGATTTGTTTCCTGTGGCCACTGTAAGAAATGACCACAAAATTAGTGGCTTAAAGCAATGGAAATTAATTTTCTCACAATTCTGGAGAATAGAAGTCCAAAATCAGTTGCACGGTCAGCATGGCTGCATTTCCTCTGGAGTTCTTTTTTTCTTTCTTTTTTTTTTTTTTAAAGAGACAGGATCTTGCTTTTTGCCCAGGCTGGATTTCAGTGGCGTGATCACAGCTTACTGCAGCCTTGAACTCCTGGGCTCAAGTGATCCTCCCACCTCTGAAAGTGCTGGGACTACAGGTGTCAGCCACCACGCGTGGCCTCCTCTGGCACCTCTTGCAAAGAATCCACTCCTTGCCTCTGCCAGCTCTGGTGGCTGCAGCATTCCTTGGCCTGTGGCTATGTCACTCTAGTCTCTGTTTCCATCTTTGTATCATCTTCTCCTTTGTTTGTCTTCTCTTCTGTCTATATCAAATCTCTATCTACCTCTTTTAATAGGATACACTCAGAGCCCACCCAAATAATCCAGAAAAATCTCTCTTTTGTAATATCCTTAACTTAATCACATATGCAATGACCTTCTTTCCAGATGAGGAATACGTATGTTCCAGGGATTAGGGTGTGGATATCTTGGAGAGGCCATTTTTCAGCCTACCAGAGTGTGCCTTTTGGCCCCAGAGATTCCTATCTATCTCAAATGAAAAATACATTCACCCCAACCCAACATTCCCCAGAGTCTCAAATCACTATAGCATCAACTCAAGTCTAAAATCTGATCTAAATTTCACCAGCTGCAAAGTCCCAAATCTAGTCATCAAAGTATCTAAATCACGTGTGGTTGACATTATGGTTATGATCCATCCCGAAGCAAAATTCCTCTCCATATGTGGACCTATGAATCTAGAAATCAAGTTATCCACTTCTAAAATACAATGGTGGGATAAGCACAGGACAACAGTTATGGGCATTCCTATTGCAAAAGGGAGAAAGTGAAAGGAAGAAAGGTCACTGGTCCCAAGCAATTTCACGATTGAACCAGAGAAACCCCATTAGGTTTCAAGGTCTGGGAACAATCCCCTGTAGCTGGAGGTTCTGCCCCTGGATCTTTCCTCCGGCCTCTGGGTAAAGGCTCTGCCCTTGGGGTTGTCCTTCCTTTTTACTGAAAAGGTAGCCCAGGTTTGCCGCTGATTAGTTTCATCAGCGAGTTTTGGGAGTGTGTTGGCCTCTTTCACTTTGTCCCCTATCTCTGCCAGTCCAAGCTGGCAGTGCCTCTGCTGATATAATACTCTGAAAAACCTGTGGGTCTCTTGTGTGGTCACCGGGATTCACACCATTAGACAAGAGTCTCCTATGCAGACCCTTTCTGCATAATCTCATCTCTGTTGCTGACTTGTGCTGAAATGTTCGAGCGGATTCGAGAGACATGCCTAATGTCTTCACAGAAAAGATGCCCAGCCTCACCCTTGGACTTCTCTCCAGAGTATGCGTTGCTGGCAGTGAATTTCCTAATTTCAGCATCTTCTGCAATCTGGGTAGACTGAGAAGCTCCCAAATTATCAAAGTCTGATTCTTTTTACCTTAATAGGTCTTTCTTCAATTTATCTCTTTCTTCTTATATTTTACTATAAGCAGCAAAAAGAAACCAGGCCACACCTTCAACACTTTGCTTGGAAATCTCCTTAACCAGATGTTCAAGTGCATTGCTTGTGAACTCTGCCTTCTGCTAAGTGAAAGACACAACTCAGATGAGTTTCCTGCCACTTTGTAACATAGGCCACCATGTTTCCTCCAGTTTTCAATGTTTCTCATTTCTTTCTAGGCCCTTGCTTGAAGTACCTTTTTTCCCACCTGGACATATTTTATTTTTCTTCCTTTTTATCCTTTTTGTTGTTGTTCATAGTTTTTTTTTTTTTCAGCATATTATGGGGGTACAGATTTTAAGGTTTCAATAAATGCCCTTTTCTCCTCTCCTCCCACAATCTTTTTATTCTTTTTTTAAATTTCAAAATATTAAGGGGGTACAAATGCTTTTGTTACATGGATACCTCGTATACTGTCAGGGCTCTCTGGTGTGTCCGTCACCAGAATAGTGTTCATTGTACCAACAAACAGGTAAGTTTTTATCCCACACCTCCCCCCCCCTCTCTCCCCCGTCCTTTGCTTCCAATGACATTTACATCTCTTTGTGCCGTGTGTACCATCATTTAGCTCCCTCTTCTTAGTGAGAACTCATGGTGTTGGTGTTCCATTCCTGAGATACTTCACTGAGGATAATGGTCTCCAGTTCCATCCAAGTTGCTGCAAACAACATTATTTCATTCCTTTTTACGGCTGAATAGTACCTTTAATGTCCATATTTCTCCCCGCCTGTTCATGATCACGTGTGCATTCTCTAAGATGACAGCAGCTTTCTCTACCGAGCTTCTCGCTTCTTTCTGAGCCCTCAACAGCAGCACATTTAGCATCCATGTTTCTACCAACAGTCTGCTTAAGGCAATCCAGGCTTTTTCTATCATGCACCTCAAAATGCTTCCAGTCTTTATCCCTGACCCAATTCCAAAGCCACTTCCACATTTCCAGGTGTTTCTTACAGCAGCACTCCACTGCTCAGTACCAAAATCTGCATTTATTTTCTGTGGCTGTTGTAACAAACGACCATGAACTTGGTGGCTTAAAACAAAGAACTGTGTTCTCTTGCAGTTCTGCAGGACGGATGTTCCAAATTAGTTTCTCTGGGATGAAATCAAGATGTTGGCAGCTCTGCTCTCTCCAGAGGTTCTAGGGGAATATCTGTGCCTTGTCTCTTGCCAATATTTCTTGACGTGTGGATGTATCCCTCCAGGCTGCGCTTATCTTCCTATCGCTGTCTCCTCTGTGCTGCCTTCTAATCAGTCTGTATCCAATTTCTCTCTGTCCCTTTCTTACAAGGAAACATGATTACATTTAAGGGCCAACTGCATGATCCAGGATAATCTATCTCAAGATTCTTAACTTAATTTCATCTGCAAAGACCCTTTTCCCAAATAACATAACATTTACGTGTTCTGGGGATTAGCACACACATATCTTCGGGGGGCCATTTTCAGCCTACTATACACTTTATGCAACTTAAATTGCAAATGTCAAAGCTACCCTTATGACCACTGTACTAAATGTGCTGTTATCCAACTTAAAATGTAGGAATAACAATGTTTATAACAAATTTGATAATGCACGTTGTTCCCGCTTGACACCATTAAGGTTGAAAAAATAATGGACTATTTCGGCTTTGTCCCAGCCCCCCCACCCTTTGGAGCCCTTCAAGACAGAGGCCATGTGGCTTTCCTAAGGAGCCATCAGTTCTGCTCTCACCTTGGCTGGCTGGCAAAGTAAATGTGTTTGCTTATAGTCTGAAAGAATGTCTCTTTCCTGGGTTCTTATACAGCTCCTAACACTACTATGCAGTTCTTATTTTAAAAACTCAATTGCCAGATCAATGTCTGTGAAGAAGTGCCTGAAAATGATCTGTTCCTAAACAGCTTATATTTTAGTCCTAGGACCACGAGAGTTCACTGGAGAGACACGTACTTGGGCCTCACCCCGTTTGGGCATGTGGCCAAGAAGCTGTGCTGAAGGATAAGACACAGGCCAGCAGACACACTGTAGAACCCACTGGTGTGACAGCAGAGAGGAAGCTGTGCGGTCCGTCAGCGCACCCTTCAGGAAGATGGCGGCATGGTGTTTCTCTCTGGGCTCTGGGCAGAACAGCTGCTCTGATGAACGATACTCGTCTCACAGTCTGATTCTGTTTTCCTTGTTCTACCACCAAGGAAGTGCAGTTGACTTCATTCCTTGCATGGTTTAGAGCCTATGGCATTTCATGTGTTTTATTATGTTTTGTCTTCTCTTTTTCTGATTTATGATATATGTAATGAAAATGTGACTTTTGGAAGAATGTTGATATATTCTTCTTTTTTTTCTTTCTTTTTTTTTTTTTAGCGTATTATGAGGGTACAGGTTACATATATTGCCCATGTCTCCCCTCCCCCTCGAGTAAGAGCTTTAAGTGTGTCCATCCCCCAAACGTTGCACATCTTACTTGTTGTGTTTGTATATACCCATCCACTTGTATGGTACATGACAGTGTTGATGTTTTAAAAATCTCATTTGATCCTTACTAAAAGCAGGTAGGAGACATAGAAGTATTTATTATTCTCAAATTTCTAAATAAGCCAACAGGCTCTGAACAGCCAAGTGATCTGCCCAAAGACTCTAGCACTAGCCTGCGATGGAGGTGCTGCCACCTGTGCTAGCTGGCCCGAGGGAGGCTGTATTGCTCTTTGCCCGTGTGGCTGCAGTTCTCCTCCATTTGGTTCATTTCACGTGGAATGCTGATGTGCCTGGGGGAAAAGTCTACTCTATTCAAAGGTTGTTTCTTTTACATTTATTACTTTTTAACAAACCAAGAGTAATGCCTGGGTTTATTTAACAACAGAACCATTGCACATTTCTGTGCAAAACAAAAATATCAACCTACCCTTTTACGGAGTTTCTCTGCAGCATCAAGTTCTGCTTTAATAGTCTTATCAAATTTGTTTAAAAGTTTAGGCTTCTTTTTCTTAACTGAAAGAGAAAAAGATTTTAATTTTTACTTTTTCTTGACTGGAAATAGATTAAGAATAGTGATTTACAAGTAGTGAGAAACCTGGGGTTGGTCTGCAACATATGCAGGAGAAAGCACACAGCAGGCTCACCTCTGTTCTCCCCTGGACAGTTGGACGAAGTCAGTAACTACCAAGGAAACAAGGAAACTCAAAGGTATTCTTGCAAGGCGGGGTGGATGCTGCTATCCTGAAACTCTCAGTGACACTAGCTAGTTTCTGGAATGAAAATGGTAGGTGTGATGTCTAAACTATCACGATCAACTTCTGAACTAAAAGCCCAAAAGACCAGTTGAGATAGTTTTTTAATATATTCACAACTTTTTCTGATATAGGTGAAGATGAAAGTGAAAAGCTCCCCTCAAAGGCATCAAGAAAAGCAGAATTTCTTAGTTTAGCATCCTAGACCTTTCTGGTATATCATGGACAGATCACTCCAGCTATATTCCATAATTCAGCCAAACTAGACTGCTCCATGCTCTCCAAGTAAATTTTTTGCCATTTCTTTGTTACCTTATGTAAATAAAATGGCCTGTTTCTTATCTCTGTCAGTCAAAAATACACCCATCCTTCAATAACAGGCTCCAAACCACACTCCTTGTAAGGTTGCTCCTGAAATCACTCACACTCTTCTCTCCACTCATCCTTTCTCTCTCTTTAATTCCACAGCATCCTGTACATCTCTGTTTTGTGGTCCTTCCCCCATATTATAATTTCATTATTATCGTAATCCTTTGTGGACTTATCTTAGTCCTTTTCCAAACCATAAACTCCTGCAGGGTGGCACCATGTCCCAAATGCAATGTGCATGCAGTCATTCACACTGGCTTAGCAGTTCTTGGCTCTGCACAGGACCCTGGTACCCGGTGAACAGGAGGACCCTCCTCCTGGAGGGAGTCACGCCCCGCAGGGGAGAAGGCGGGTCCTGCGGTGCACACCTGGCAACGCCTTGGGAGGGGTGGATGTGGGAGCTCAGAGTGACAAGGACGGAAGCTTGAAAGGTGAGCAGAATGTTCCAGCTAGAGAAGGGGACTGGCAGTGGGGAGTGCTGTGAAGTGGGAGGGACAGAGAGAAATGAGAACAATCAGAGAACGTCCTCAATTTCCTGATAGTAAATCTACATAGCAGCATCTGCTCTATCCTGTCACAAAGGAAGAAGGGCTCTTCTTCCTAAGGTCAGCCTCCCACCACAATACACCCCCGGCCCAACCACATCACCGTACAGCACACACCACCACATACACCCCCCACCCACCCCATCCACCCCCATACACACACACCACCACACAATACCACCACATACACTCCCTCAGACCACTACACCCACCACATACACCCCCACCAATCTCACACAACACCCGACCACATACACACCCACCACTAACACCCACACACACACCCGCCACTACATATCCCCACCAACCCACTACACACACACACCACCATATACCCACTCAAACACTGTCACACACAACCCCACCTACATACACCCACACACACACCCCACCACATACACCCCCACCACATACACCCACCCACACACCTCTCCCACAAACCCCCACTACACACACCACACATCACCCCCCAGCAAATATACCCACCAAACCGTCTCCCACCACCATACACACCCCCCACCACATACAAACCCCCACCCATACACACCCCCCACCACATACACCCACACCACCACCCCCACCCACCAACTACACACCCACACCACACATGACACCGCCCACCGACAGTTACCCACCAACACCTCTCCCAAATCAACACACACGACCGGACGCCACCACAATACCCACCACATACGACCCACTAACACCCTCTCCCACCAACCCCCACTACACACACACCCCCACCACATACACCCCCCTACCACACATAACCCTACCACATACACCCACCACACACACCCACCACATACACTCCCCCACCACATAACCCACATCAACACCGCACTACCACTACACCCACACACACACCGCAGCCACATACAACACACAATCACCCCTGCAACCCCCCCTACATATACCCCCACCAACATCCCCCCCACACATACACCCACTACATAACCCCCACTACATAACTCCCACCACCACCACATACCATCCCCACAACACACCCCCACCTACCCACTACAAACACCACATACACCCACGACACACACCCCCATCCCCCCAGCCACCCCTACATTACTCCACCACATACACCCACCCACACCCACTGATACACCCCCTACTACATACATCCCCTATCACCATACAACCACACTCCACCACATACCACCCCCCACCACCCACACACACCACACACACCCTACCACACACCACACCCCACCACACATACCACCACACCCATCACACCCACCAGCACATCCCCCATCACATACAGCCCCCACCAACACTGTCTTTTGAAAGTCTTCTCACTCTCCGGCTCCCTCCTGAGCCCCCATCGCATTTAATAACTCTGAAGTCTCTGCCATCTCAAAGCAAACCACCAACCCGGGGGAACGCGCAAGCCTGCCCGCTGCTTGCCGTCCTCTCTGCCTCCCTCACAGTGCCCGTACAGCAACGGCTCCTCTCACAATCGGGCTCCTCACGTACTGGCCCTCCACACACGGCCTCCTCACCCGCCGCAGGGGCGGGAGCGAGTCTCCCAGAGGAGGGAGGGCTCCACGGTGCAGTGACGGATGGCAAGAGTCAGAGTCCCAGCTCTGTCATGTCCAAGCTGAGCTGGGACTACACTCTTCTGAGTCTCACTTTCCTCCTCTATGAAGTGGGGACAGTGATTCCATGAATTAAATTGATGTGTGACACACGAGCACAGTGCCTGGCAGACCGTACGTGCTTAGTACCTGAGAGCTAATCACATCTACGGCCTTCTCTGCAGGTCTACCAGTTCCTTTTTCTTCCTACTTTCCTGACTCCTCTGCAGGCTCTGTCACAGTTGACTCCTTCCTCCTTCTTCCTCCTTCCTCCTCCTTCCTATAACGATCCTTTGCTTGACTTTCATGTTGCCCTCGCTCCTAGTTCTCCTCACTCTCTGGCCTCTTCACTTTCTCTTCGTCTCCTCTGTGGCTCCTTCACTCTGCGAATCCCTGGATGTTACACTCTTCAAGGTCAGTCTTCACCACCCCCAAACGTAGGACCTTAACTACTTCATCCTCAAGCTGAGTCACAAATAACTAGTCCATTTTCTCTTGCATTACAAAATCATAAATCCAAGTGCTTATTGACACAGATGCCTTAAACTTGGTAGATCAGCCACAGAATATGCTATATTCCTCACACATTCATGCCTTCTTGTATTTACCCTATTTCACAGAATGGTGCCCTGGCACCCGGGTGTCCAAATCAGAAACTGGGTTAGGGAATGGAAGTAACACAGGGCCAAAGGAAGAACATGTGGGAATCACCCGGAGGAAGACGGAATAGATCACTATTGTCTTTTTAGCACTCACTCCACGCCAGACCCCGGGCCTGGCTCTGTACATATATTGCCGTTTATCCTCTCCACCTCCTGAACATGGTCTTTTAGGTGGTCACAGATAAGATCACTGAAATCCCCTCCTGTTTCCCACACGGGAGGAAGCAAACACTCACTTTACTTACTTCTTGGTTTCCAAGAAGAGAGAAAGCTCTTTTGTCCTAACAACCTTGGTCTCCTGCCTCTCCCCGCAGGGGAGGTGACGTGACTTAACCATCCCGGGAAGGAACACGCCTGCGTAGCTGGGTCTCCCCTCTTTGCTGCCTCCCAAAAGCCTGCGTACTGAGCTAAGCTGATCACACCCACAGCAAGAGGCGCCCGCGCGGAAGAACGAGGGCGGTCCCATGCCGCAGGGAGCGGGCAGGTGTGTCCGATTCTGGGGTTCAATATTAAGAAATCTGTTATTCCTGATTCTCTGAGCTCCATCCTTCAGTTCAGCTCTCATTGGTAATAAAGCTCACACTCTGATCACCTTTTATTTCAGCACTTACGCATTTTTTAAAAACAGCCATGATCCTCTATTTTGTTTATTCCATTCTCCTCTTTTGCCTAAACCTCAGTCCTTCTATTGTTGAAAAATCTGTCTAAAGCAGAGACTGAAAATACAGTGAATAATGAGTTTTTTTCAACTGCATGTCATTATATGTTACCATATATGCTGATACGGAAAATCAATCGACACTTGACTGAGATGTGGATTTATAGTGGTGGGAGTTTGTGTATTGTCATCTCAGCACAGATTTATATCTCCCAATTGCCCATTTTGCTTTTCTGGAAATCTCTTTCAACAGGATGACAGGGGGACCTCCAGGAAAGCCAGGCATGCCCCTGCGTAGCAGGCTTTACTGTGGGCATTATTGGTTTTCCTCAATGTGTCTCCTGTGATATAAAGTTAACATGAGATTTATTTACAAGAAAAAAACAGAATGGCAGTTTTGGACATCCAAAAAGTCAACAGCAAAATAATATGCTTGCTAATGAGCAATACTGTAAGTATATTAGTGTCACAATATTTTAATGGCACAAAAATAGCCATTTTTAAAATATAAAAACTCTCATAGCACCTGCTACTAAGAAATTACTTTGTCCCATCTTTTCATATATCTTCATATTTAATAGTTTCTAACTATTGCTCCTCACTTTGAAATTCAAATTTGATTCTATCATGACTATTTTTATGTTTAAAAGTATAAAAAGCCTGAGGCAATTTTCCCAATTATAAAAACACAGACACATATCTTCTTCCTTCCTTCGTGTTCTGGGCAGGCATGTGGTCGGGATGCTGAAACCAGTCCTTGTTCTGGCTAGTGAGGGCATCCCCGTGAACTCTCTCAAGCTCTCTGGCCTCAGTTTTCTCATCTACAAATGGTTAACTCAGGCTGGTTCTTTTAAGGTCTCTTTGAACTCAAAAATCCTGCACTTCTAATTTCAGTTGATTTAAATCATGTTAATAGTGTTTCAAAGTAGACCTATAAG